CAACAATCCAGTCGTCAAATCAGATGAGCCAACACCATCAGCAAGCTCAACTTTCTTAACCTACCAGACCATAATCTCCTCACTTCAACTATCGCCACCATCACTCCTCAACTTCAGAAGAAATCTGTCTATAGCATCAATCAATAAACCATACTTTAAAGACTTAGAATGAGTGTTCAACCTCCAACACCAAGTCTTCCGTCTCCAGTTCAACGTTCATTTCAAGTCGCCAAACTCACCAAACTCAACTTACACAACATCAATACCGCCTCGCACACAGCAACTTGCTCACGCATCGCTTCGCTGAATTAATAATTATCTGGTCAATCATCCAGAATTTTGAACATGGTCTCACCTGGTTTGTAAGCATTAACAGGTCAGAATATTAAAGGACAAAGCACCCACCCACTAGCATCCTAGTCGCTCGTTTATCTTTCACCTTCCTCGGTCCAACATTGAAGTGCCTCTGCGACCATTTCAGCCCCTCAAAATCGTCAGCTAGACTCAAGAGGGTCCCCCTCAATACAAGCAGCTTCAAGATTCCAGGAGCTTCAGCATGAACACGCAGGCGCAATATCACACCCAGCACATCCAGATGATATCAATTACCTACAGGCGCCAACAGCTAACAGCGTCAATATAGGGTTTCTAGCGAGCAACAAAGGGAACAGGAAGCCCCAGCCAATCTAGAGCAGAGTACAGGGGCAGAGGGAGAGAATATAGGTTAGAGCTTCATACATACCTTGCGCACAATTTCACAATATAAATCTCCATTCCCCCCGCAAGCTTACGTTCACACTAACTATCAACAGGCTTATAGTGTATGATAGATAGAAACGCCAAAGCCAGATCAAAACTTTAATAAGCAGTATCTCACAGACTAAAGCTCCATTTGCATCATCTATTTGCATCTTTCGAGTGACAGAAATAAAATAGCCCTCAGATTCTCTATATTAATTTTCTAGGGGTTTACCTGTCCTATTGCTCAGAGAATTAGTGATTTCAGTAATTAGAATGCTGCAAAGCTCCCTAGATTAAAGGTGATTTTATTTTCAAGCCCATAGGTTTGGGGTTAGCATTTTGATATCTCAGTATTAGAAAATTTTATCTTTCTGCTGTTCATTCTTATCTTGGTCTTAGTCCTTACCCTCTTTCACCAGTTCCTATCGTTCTCGCTATCAAGTTCAATAAGGCGTGTCACAAGCACATATTCACCATGACTCTACCTCAAATCTTTACTGTTTTAGAACGTTCATCTCACATTTTTCAGCCCATATAACACAGATAGGTTATCAATTCGACTTTATATCTCATCAACTACATCTTCAATTACCGCCATTCCAGCCTCAAGTGGTACTCAGGCTAGCTTCAATTCATGCTGCAATATAGTTTTAATTAATATCTTTTTTAGATATTCTAGAAGAGAACAGAAAGTAAGGTAGCCTCAAGCAAGATTACATATTCCCAAGAAAAGATTCATCAAGCACTTCACATCTCTCGCCAATAAAGAGTTACCCTTATACTTCCTTTCATCTCATTTAAAAAGCTGATATCATAAATATCATAACACTTTAGCAAGTATAAGACCTTAATTAAAAACATTATGGTCTTGCAATTAGACTATCTGAAGCAGTATCTTATTTCGTGGATAGAACACATAAATCTTACCACAGCAGCCCCCGTTTCAGAATTATAACGACATACGTCCTCAACTTAGGAATTTGCGCATATTCCAACAGCTGTGGACGCTATGAATGCAGTCGAGACAGCAGTCGAGACCAAGGTCAAGCAAATTAAGGTGAACAGCCTCATAGCGTATCAATATATTCGTTATTTTACCATTTTCATGGTTCCAATCTGCGATAGGTATCTATAATATTTTCTAAACTTGGTCTCTATCTGCTACCACATCTCTAAGGCGTCATTAAATTCCAAGAAATTCTCAAGGATAGCCCATATAGTTATATGGGGGGCGACATCAAACTCAAGAGGTTTGATCTTAATAATAGCGCTACCCTAAAAATTATCATATTAAGAGAAGG